CATGAGTTTGGAGGACTGCATCCATACATCTTTGCAATGACTCAAATAACTTATTAATAGTCATCTGGAATGGCAAAGAAAGCGTTCTTGTAGGACTTCCAGAGTTCATCAAGGTTCTTTGGATTCCTCTTTATTGCCATCTCCTTCATCTTACCCCAGACATGGTCATTAATATTCATATCAAGGGAATGAGCTGGACAATCATGGTGCACTTTGACCTTCTTTGCTTTCAGGCACTTTGATGTGTAGGCTTAAGTATGAGAAGGAGCGCTATCCTGCTGAAGAATTTGCCCTCTCCTGTGGTTTGTAACGCCTGTTTCACACCGCAAGCGTCAGTGGCGCGTGAGCAGAGCGTCAGCAGCGCGTTTGCCTTTCACACCAGCTGCGTCTGCAGCGCGCAGCTCTTCGGCAGCTGCTGCAGAGATCAACCTATCTCTGTCTATTCTATCTAGTTAGCCATGTCTCTCTATATACAAATACACCTTTTAAACTTTTCATCTGCACCAAAGCCCCCTCCTATGCTGTTTCTTTAACCTGCAAATCTTTATTTTACAAATTTTATAGATCAAATAGTACTGCATGCTTCTCAAGCTAACTTATATGAGAAGTGTCTGCAGTCAGAGGACAATCGCCTGTGATATCATGTCATTTGTTTTTTGATTATCAGGTTGCTGTAGACCTAGTTATAATCATATTTATACAATTTAGTTATAATGATATTTATACATGATCAAACTAGTGTTACTTTCTTTAACAGCTCGTTAATTCATGCTCGTGCAGATGATGAGACGGACAAAAGTAACCAATGCATGCCATTCTTTTACTTATTTTCGTGTTGTCAGATTCACAGTGCAAACAGCTCCCGGTAGGAATAACTTGAGTGAACATAAAACAAAGCCGATTAAAACTTTCTTGCTCTGCTCAGCTGCACAGAACACAGCGAGCTCACATAATCCAGCATGCGTGTCGCACTACACTACCCACAATACACTTCGTGATGGACTACAAATCCCGTAAATATTCTATTTCCCCTCTCGTACAACACTAGTGTGCAACTTAAGCAAAACTGATACTAAAATTGTTTTACATTTGGTTTTGTAGTTCGGGCCTAAATAAATGTTTGTTGCCGTTTTTAATCGTTTTAAGTTCATTTGAATGACTATAAATAAACCATTTGACATTATTAACGCATTTATTGGGTAAAATTGCTACTTTTTAACTGTCATTCATTGTGTTTTGGTCATTATCAATGCACTGTCACTTTAATTGAGCGTGAGCAGTGCGTCAAAAATAGACCCAGCGCCGAAACTATCGCTGCACTGCTGCTTCGGCAACGCTCACGCCTCGCTCTGACGCGCTGCTGCTGCGTGCGGTATGAAAACTCTAATCTGTTAACATGGACACCAAAAACGCTGACGCTTGCGGTGTGAAACAGGCGTAATGTAATAGGCAGCACAAATGTCTTGATACCTCAGGCTGTTGATGTTGCCATCCACTCTGCAGATCTCTCAAAAGCCCCCATACTAAATGTAACCCTAAACCCTGATTTTTGATTAAATAAAGTAACCTAAGCTAAATAAACCTATGTAGGGAAGTAAGAGTAATTATTTTTCTCTAATAATTTACTTGAGTTAAAGTACACATGCTTAAATGTACTAAAAAAGAACACCTTACCCAACATTTTTACTCAAGTAAACGTAACGAAGTAAATGTAACTCATTACTACCCACCTCTGGTCTCAACCTATTAGGGTTTACGGTGTAGGCTATATGACATATTGGCATTAAAGGAGTGCAACACAACAGCATCATACTCAAACTGAAAGTCCATTACTGACCATAACCAACAAACAAATTATTTTCTGTCTCACCTGATATTATTTAGAAGGCTTTAACTGAGTTAAAATTAAAGGAGTAAAGACACCCAGTGTCTGGAAAAATAACCTCTCAAACAGGATTCTGTTGTTTACGGCTACACTAAAAGAAGGGGAAAAAATTAATGTGGTCTGAAATCTAGTTAATTGTTTATTAAAAAGTAAGATGAGGAAATCTAATCATACTTCCATTTTAAAAATCAACTAAGTATAATGTCTATGGATCACATTTTCCCCTAGCTGTCAGTGAGGCTTTTAAACCCAGTGACTCAGAGCTCTTTACATTGCTCACATAAAAAAAAGAAAAAAGGTCATGAGAAGAAAAAAAAAAATATCAAAGCTCTTTGGAGAAAGCGTGATGGAAAGAATCAACTCAATCGCAAAAGAACCTGAATTTCAATATTGTTTTTTGATGGCATATCTTGCTCTGTTAAATAAGACAGATCAATTCAATTATCATATTAAGTCCCGATTGTCTCTAATTAATAGAGCATATTCAATGCACGCTGTGATGATTATTAATTGATTTGTTCTGACTCTGAGTTAGGAGAAAACACTGGTGGCGTTATGTGCATTGAGCCCTTAATCACACAGATGTATCTTCAGCTCTCGCTGAGGCAGATATTGATGCAGATTACTAAGGTTTTTTTTTTTTACTTCCTCACTTCTCAGCGTGTCCGCTCAATTGTTTTATTGCTTGCACAAACTCAACAGCTTTGCACTGCAGGATACAACTCCAGCTCCATCAGGCTGTTGTCGTTCAGAGCTGGAGAAACTGAGACCACGTGGGTGGTATCATAGATCTCCTATTCACAGATAGAACTCTAGAGTTTAATCACGTGAACGTGCAAAACTTTACATTTCTTTGAACTCTAAATTTCATGTTAGACATTATTAATAACAGTTCAGCGGTTTAATAGCTATGTTGTATTGTAATGTCTAATTGTTTTGATCTCTGCCCTAAGCTTGTGTGAAATGTTGATTTAGCACTCTCATTAAAAAATCAGTCTCAAAGCAATGGAAACAGACAAAACAATTTGTGCTGTAAGGTCGCTGTTTTTTTTTTATTTCAGCTGACTCCAAATACTTTTCTATGTTTTACATCTATATTACTATCTGCATGTTTTTATTCCTGTAAAAAGATACACTGTACAAGGACAACAAATAATGTATTCTTCTCTATTGGATAAAAGCGTCTGCTAAATGACTAAATGTAAATGTATTACACGGATGCTTTAACTCCGATCAATATTGAAGTTATCTATTTTATCTTATTTAATAAAGATGACATTCTAAGTTTGTTCTACAGCCTTTTCCTGAACTTTTGAACCAATTCACCACAGCAAGTTTTCTTATTACCGGTACTACTGCATAAACTACTGTAGCTGTGGTTGCAAGAAAAGCACTGTTAAAAATACAGTAGAAAATCCTACAGTAGATACAGTAAATTACTATATATTATATAGCCCTAAAACCATGATAGTAGGTATCCGTCAGTCAGTGTTGAACATGTACATACCTATCAACCCCCCTGTATTTCCCGGGATTCTACCGTATTTTACAGTTCTATCCCGATATCATCCCGTGAAGGTATTTTCCTGTATTTCTCCTGTATTTTCAGTCATTCCATGAAGGGTGGCAATAAACATTAAAGAGCTGATCCTTCCATATCGCCGAACCACCACCCCTTGCTCTTAAATGTGAGCCTGTTCTGTGCTTTAATTTTATTTAGGCATAAAAACACTGAAACACCTTTCCTTTTCCTTTACGTTGCCAATCCTATGAATCCTCAAAACAGTCATATAGCGGTGCGTGACTGTCAGCTAACATGCTCCATAGTGATAAATAGACGCTGTTTCCCAAACAAATGCTGTACACGCGATTTAAAGCAAAAGGTTTTTGGGTGCATGTTTGAACAGACATATACACATAAATAATAATAATATCAACTCTCTGTGTTTGATTTTCTTTTTTTATACACAGGATTATGCCATCGAACTGTTGTATTAACACAATATCACACTCGTAGCAGTGCGATATGGCTGTATATATATATATATATATATATATATATATATATATATATATATAGGTATTAAATAATAAATACTATATAAATATCAAATATCATAAAATATAATATGGTAGTTTATCATAAAACTTAATTTAATTTTGTTCTAGGGCAGGGGTTTTCAAACTGTGGGTCGCACAGTGAGGAAAGGTGGGTTGTGCAACGTCACTTAGCTGCAGCTATATTATTTACGTTATGGTGAATCAAAACCAGAACGAGTGAACGGCTCTTTAGAGATGATTCTATTTTTTCAAATGAACCATTTAGGTTAAAACACATGAGCTGAAACAGTCTGAATCAGCATTGATTGAATGACTGAGTCAGATTCATTTGTACTGTCACGTGTCTACGTCAGTAGCGTGCAGCATTCATGACCGCAGCTGCAACGTGCTTGGTAAAATGGAAAAGTTTTTAAAACTAAAGGCATCGCAGACTTCTGATGCGTCTTCAGATCAAACCTAAAAAGGAGCAACACAGAAAATATGATCGGTCCTACCTCGATCTTAGTTTTATTGCCGGCAGAGGTCCATAGGGTGAGGAAGTCCTGATTTGTCTTTTATGCTTAGAAAAGCTTGCAAGTGCTAGCATGAAAACCTTACACCTGACAACAAATCTATCTGCATATGTCAACAAAGGTTGATCATATTTTCGTCAACAAAAAATGATCACAGTTACAGCCAGGATCCCACAAAAAGCACTTTAAGCCTTATTTTGTGCATATTGAATCGCAAAATCCAAAGTCACACACCATATATTTTTGACTGCTTTGAATGGATACATTTTTTAAACAATTTTTCCATATTAAAATATTATGGTGGGTCTTGAGATTGAATTACTTGCCTAGGTGGGTCCCAGAATAAAAAGTTTGGGAACCCCTGTTCTAGGGGGTTTTCAGCTTTAATTTGATAGGATCTCAAACTGGCAATCAAATTCCTGTTGCTGTGAGCTATATGTCAATAATGGTTATTCTCTATATATTAAATAAATTAATTTGTAATGATTTACAGATTTTATGCATTTTTACAAATTTTGACTGTTTTCTGTGTATTTCTTTTGTCTGTAGTACAGCATGCTCTCTGCACGCATCAGTTAAACTCTCTGCCAATAACAGAACAGAAAAGTAGTGCTGACAGTCTATTAGTGCTGGGGCTGTTGCTACACAGCAATCTGAAGATGCCGGAAAGCATTTATAAAGCATGCATCAGACGTGTCCGGCTGCTGAAACTGACTGCACATTTCCATTAGCCCTGATGCACTCTGGTGCTCCAATTCTTCACACAAACGCATTTTACACAGAAAAGCCATCTTTGTCTCTGTTTTGACGTTATTGATTTGAATCGGCTCTACTGTGACGTGTATGCAATTTGCTCACCCGCAGGTGCCGTGTGCAGCTCCAGGACAGCATGGCGGGTGAGCCAGGAGAAATGGAGACGTCACAGGAGCTCACCACACTTGATATGAACATCAGCCTTTCAAATGCCTACACGAACAACAGTAATGCTACCAACCACAGCAGCATCACCTACTACCCCTACTACCAGCACTCTCTGCCTGTGGCCGCCGCTCTGACTTTGGCTTACCTCTTCATCTTTCTGCTGTGCATGGTGGGAAACGGCTTGGTGTGTCTGATTGTGTTGGAGAATCGGCGGATGAGAACAGTCACGAACCTCTTCATACTTAACCTGGCTGTGAGCGACCTTCTAGTGGGGGTTTTTTGCATCCCAACAACCCTGGTGGACAACCTCATCACAGGTACACATCTCTACAATTACACAAACATCTGAAAGATAGAAGAAAAAAACATCTTAACCTCGTCTTTTACCTTGACCTCTTGCTTGCACCTCCACAGTTATGGCTAAATGTAAAAATCACACCTTTAGAGCAACTCTCCAGACAGTAATGAAGCCTACGGGACTGCATGCTCTTATCCTTTGCATTACTGAGGCTTGCACCTCAATAGCACCGTTCCAGATCTACACCTTAATGCTCAAGAATGACCTATTCTGACATTCACTGGCTGAAGCAAATATGTCAGTTCTCATGTTTGCTCTCGCTATTGGACTTTGGCTCTGTAGAGCAAATGTAAATAATGGATTCGGTTCAGAACTGCTCACGCTATTTCAACTTTCCACTCAATGCTTCTTTCTCCAGCAGCTGTGTGTCCTTGGTTGTTCTGAGCTACACGATTAACTTTTCTTTGGATGAAAGACATAAACATAAACACAAACATGTTTCAAACACTTTGGTTTAAAGAAAAACTGCCTGTGCATTGACTGTAGATGCTCTCTTTCACGATTAACTCACAAAACAGTGAAAATACATTTCCTGGCGAGAATTTCAAATAAATAGTGGTTTATGCTATAAGTGAACGTAAGGATATTAGAAAAAAGACATATGTGTATCAGTATAGTGCAGACCGTGTAGTGTTTCACTTTTTTTTTTGTGTGATTTTTTGCGAAAAAAAAATTTTTTTGTGACATTTTTGCAATAAAAAAAAAAAAATAAATGTACAGTTGAAGTCAGAATTATTAGCCCCCCACTTTAATTTTTTTTCTTTTTTTAAATATTTCCCAAATTATGTTTAACAGAGCAAAGAAGAAGAATTTTGTCTGTATTTATATTAGAATTATGTCTGATAATATTTTTTCTTCTGGAGAAAGTCTTATTTGTTTTATTTCGGCTAGAATAAAAGCAGTTTTTAATTTTTAAAAAACATTTTTCAGGTCAAATTTATTAGCCCCTTTAAGCTATATATATATATATATATATATATATATATATATATATATATATATATATATATATATATATATATATATAAAGACTTTCTTGCTTCTAGAGTTGTTTGACTAAACACAGAACTCAACAGTGTTTAGCATTAAAATGATGGAAATATAATACAGTATAAATATTTAGATATGAAAACAAATAAATAATGTTAATACAGTATAAATCTTTATGTGGTGAGGCTTCTTGTCAAGATGGTGAAACTTGATGTGAAGCACTGTGTACTGCAGGCCAGGCTACTCTTTTTTTCAAAGCTTTTTTTCTTTAATTCAAAAAGGCATTTTCTGTACTTGCCGTGTTTGTATATAAAGCAATTTCAAAATAGTTCAAGTATAAAAAAACATAATAGATTTCTCTCTTCAAGTGCAATCACGTGCTTAAATCACATTTGAAAAATGAGGCCACATAGCAAAATTTCTCTGGTCCACACAATCAATGTTTGTTTGGCCCACATGCTGCAGTGAATTAAGCCTGATTTATACTTCTGCGTCAAGTGACCGGCGTAACCCACGGCGCATGCAACGCGCGTGGCTGTGCATTTATACTTCTGGGAGCCGTCTCTGTTGGTCTGCATTAACACTTCCGAAACGCTAGTTGGCAGTGAGGTGTAAATGTTACTCTGTGTTGAGTTTCTTCGCTGCTTTTTTGCTTTTCCTGAACACTTCCGGGATGTACAAGTGGCTCAAACTCGCTCATTTTGAGGCAGGAACCGGCGGACGTGCAGCAACTTTAACTATGAGGTAAACACAAAACAAAACTTTCCATCCGGAGCTCCTTCACAGGGCTCCACACTTGTAAACAATTGCTACATTGGGTTCGCGCCATTCGCGCGGGTCTCGGTCCCGCCCCGACTCGTCAGCGCTACCAAGCCGACCAATCACAGAGCTTGTGCTACGCGTTGTTGTGACGTGTAGTTACATTTTTTGAGAGGTGCACGTCAGCGGCGGCCACGTCGAAGGGCTATGCGTCAGCGCCGGAGCATACGCCGGTGTTTGAAGCAGAAGTATAAATCAGCCTTTACAGTACATGATTGGACCAAGTCTGGCTTCCAGGTAAGGGCCAAACATGGACCATGTCTGTACCAAGTTTAGCTAGGTTAATAATCCATAACTGGGCCTGATCTTGAAGCTAAGTTCCAGTAGCAACATATAGGATAGAACAGATTAATAATTCAAACAATTAAATCTTGGTTGTTTCCTGGATACAAATGGAGGCATTAGAAGATGCAAACAGGAAGATGGAAATTATTTTGTGTATTAAAATATTTCTTTAATTTTTCTTTTTTCAAATAATTAAAATGATTTTAAATGTAGGTCAAGATAGGCCAAATTTACGTGGCCCACATATATATATTTAAAATCTGAGCCAAATACTACATTTGATATCTGGTCTATGTCTTGTGTGCCTCCTCTGCCAAATTTGTGTCATTATGTGTGATCCACATGCGATATGCCAGTGCCAGATGTATGCCTGCTGTATGCCAAATCTGAGCCAGAATTCTTTGCTACCTGGGAGGAACACATTATAAATGTTTGATGCTTCACATGTGTTGCTCATATTATTATTTGGCCATGTTATTTCACATGTTCATTCATTCATTTTTAGTCTCTATTTCAGAGGTCGTCACAGCAGAATAAACCGTCAACTATTCCAGCATATGTTTTACACAGCGGATGCCTTTCCAGCTGCAACACAGTACTGGGAAACACCCATACACACTTATTCACACACTCATACACTACTGCCAATTTTGTTTACCCAATGCTTGGGATTTGAAACGGTGACCTTTTTGCTGTGAGGCGACAGTGCTGACTGTTTGCAATTGTGAATGTGCACCAGCATGTCTTTCTGATAAAATGACTTGATTTAGCCTGCCAACCATATTAAGTGTTAATTCCTCTGTTTTATTTTCACTGTCATCTTAGCTTGTTTGGCTGCAGTACAATCATAAAAACAGCAGTTTCTCCCTCTTGCTGTTTTTATTTATATAATCTGAATTAAATTTAATACACACCCTCTGGAACACAGCTGCTATTGATCGGTCATTTCACACTTCAGCAGTGAAAAACATGATGTAATTGGTCAAATTAACATCTACAAATCGACAACGTGAGTGTAAAGTTCATTAGGTGATCTCCTGACAGTGTGCAAATGAAAGAACACCAGGACAACAGCTCGCTTGCATAATGACCACCCCCAATCAACCAAGAGCAGCACAAATGAAAAACAATGCAGTTAATCATTACGTCGAGATAACATCTGCCTCTGGCCTCCCATATAAATTAATATAAATCCCTGCTCTCTAACAGCAACTATCGCTGCACGTAAAGTGCAAAATGCATTAAGACGGGCTATTCTGATAGTAAATAACAGCACAGATGCCAACAAACAGACTACCGTAAGTCTCTGCATGATTCATTTAAACACTCGCCTTCCATTAATTTTACATCTAATGCATATGCAATAAGGCATTGCTTATTTTCCACTTGGCATTAATAATAAACCCTGACAGATGTTTTGTTTCATGCCTGAAGATTTGTTTATAACTGAAAATCTTAAAATATGAAATATTTCCACATATGTCTATCTCTCCATGCTTGATAATAAAATCAATTAAACTCCAAAGGACAATTTACAGTTAAAGTCAGAATTAATAGCCCCCCTGTTTATTTTTTCCTCAAATTCCCATTTCCCCAACTGTTTAACGGAGAGCAGATTTTTTAAACACATTTCTAAACAGAATCATTTTAATAACTCATTTCTAATAACTGATTTATTTTATCTTTGCCATGATGACAGGAAATAATATTTGACTAGATGTTTTTCAAGACACTTCTATACAGCTTAAAGTGACATTATAAGGATTAACTAGGTTATTTAGATATTATTATTAGTTATTGTATAATGATGGTTTGTTCTGTAGACAATCGAAAAATATAACCTAAAGGGGCTAATAATTTTGACCTTAAAATGGGTTTTAAAACAATTAAAACTGCTATTATTCTAGCTAAAATAAAACAAATAAATACATATAATTTTATCAGACATACTGTGAAAATGTCCTTGCTCTGTTAAACATCATTTAGGGAATATTTTAAGGAAAAATATATATTTTTGTTTGTTAAATTAGTATTTTTCAGTGGGATTTTTTTAATCACCCACTCTCCCTTGGGATCTGTTCTCAGGCCATTACTCTTTATAATTTATGTATTACCTCTGGAGTCAGATGCACGATCATGGTTTCAACTCTCACTTTATGCTGATGTCATCCAACTATATTCTGTACCTGGATACCTATTCTACCAACCCAAATTGACAAAGTATCTGCTTGAGTGAATTAAATAAAATAATGGCTTAACCTACTTTTTCTGAAACTCAACATAGACAAAATCAAGATCATTTTTTATTTGTACAATATCATTTAGCAATATTCTCACTAGTTTCTCCTGTGAAATTGCTGGCTCCTACATCAAACTCTCAGTTACTGATACAAACTTAATGTACACTATCTGACAAAAGTCATGTCAAAGTTTTAGGAACAACAAATAATAACTTGACTTCTAGTTCATCATTTAGTGTCAGAAGTGACTTATATGAAAGGCTAAGGCCTCTAGATTACGCTTATTTTACCATAATAAAATATGATCATGCCTTGATTTTTACTTATTTAATTAGAAAAGTAAGGTCTGACTTTGCTTTGACAAAAGTCTTGTCACTTAACAGAAATAAAGTACAGTATAGAATATAAAGTCATGCTGCAGTTGAAAAATAATGAATATTGTGTTTGACTCTCATGGGTTTGGAGGACTGCATCCATAAATCTCTGCAATGACTCAAATAACTTATTAATAAAGTCATCTGGAATGACAAAGAAAGTGTTCTTGCAGGACTCCCAGAGTTCATCAAGATTCTTTGGAATCATCTTTAATGCCTCCCTCATTTTACTCCACACATGCTCAATAATC